ATTTTTTTACCCTTAAGGGAATTATTTTATGTAAGCCCAAGGGGCAAAATTGTCTTTTAGTTTCTTTTAAGGCATATATATAGAGGCATTTGCTCTTGTATTAGAACATGATGGATTATTAATAAAAAAAATTTGTGTTTTGCACTTGGGTTCTTTGGGAAGAACGTTAGTGAAATCCCTATGGGAGGGAGTCGGAGTTTCCACCAGCCGCAGGATGGGTCCGGGCTCGTGGCGTGAAGTCCCTTGGAGAAGGGCAACGTAGTACCCGTCAGCCGCAGGATGTGTCCGGGCTCGCGGTTGTATCTTTGATATTTTGTTTATTTGCTTTTGTTCCTTCTTATTGTTCTTCGTCGTTATCTTCATCTTCTTCCTCCTCCCCATCTTCGTTTGGTCGCCGGATTCTAGCCTCACCCGAAAACCCCTCTTTTCCCCGTCCAACACCCACGGCCAACATCCCACCCAAGCTCCCATACCGCCGGCCAACCCTCTAATCGCCGGTTCCCCATCCACCTCCTCATCCCCATTAATTCCTTGCTTAATTTGGGTGATTTAATTTTGGGCGGTTTTCAAAATTCAAATCCAACTAATTTGAAATTTGAAATTTTTCCTAATTTGTCGTTCTATGTTTGGAAAGTTGTAAATGAGTTATATTTGAATTTTAAACTCAAATGGATCTAAATAATTCTTTCCTAAATCCCAAAACCCAAATTAGGTAACCCAATTGATTGCTCTAGACCCATCTTTCCCTTTGGATGCTGCCGGCCTCTTCCTCTACTTATTGGCTTTGATTAAAATTTATTTCCTAATCCTCCACTATTGCTTTGGGAAAAAATTTTAAATCTCTAACCTGGCCCCTACCCGAAATTCCCTAAATCCAATCTCTGGTTTTATATCCTAAATCTGGAATTGGGAATAGGAAGTAAATTCTTTTTCCCTAACTCACCTCATACAGCCGCCTCCCTCTTATGCCTGCTTATTTCTTTCTCCAAGCTCCTCTCTCTCACGGTCAAGACTTGCTGGACTAAAGACTAAAGCCCCTCTATGATTTTCCTTCCCAGTACTGAAGCTGGAATTGATTTTTTTTTCTGATTTCTGAGAGCAAATCTGAAAACTTCAGATTTCGTTCTACATCACTCTAACTCCCCCTCTCTTTCTCCCTCTACCTCATTCTCTCTCCGTCCCATTTTGAAAAAGGACAAAAATAGAAAAGAACAAAAAGTAAAAAAAGAAAAAGGATTAAATTTTAAAATATATATATTTCAAAAAAAAATTATGTTGGTCCTTGCCTCGAAAATATACTTGCCTTATCATCATCATCATCATTTTGTGTACAAACGTTAAACTAGGGGTGTCAAAATGGGTTTTTGGGTTGGGTTCGGATCGAACCTAGAATTGACCCGAGTCAAAATGGGTTGACTAGAACCCGACCCGGTTCTATAAACGGGTCAGAAATTCAAACTCAGACCTGACCCGTGCGGGATACCCGGTTGAGCCAACCTGACCCGCAGACACGGAACACAACCAACATAGTCTGTACGCCAAAACGAGTTTAGGCAGTGGCGGAGGGAGGGGGGGCCAAGGAGGGCACATGCCCCCCCCCCCGAACAAAGAAGAGCAAAGGTTCACATGTACATTTTTATATGTGAGAAATGGATTATTTTCTCTTATATACATGCTCGGTTTAAGAGAAAGAAGTAAATGGATTAATTTATTTTTTTAATCAAGAATAAGCTATTGATATATCATCAAAAAATTATCTTAATCGGGCACTAATCTCGAGAAAAAAATCATGTTAGAAACTTCAAAAATTAAATAGGAGACCATTTGAACTTTGATTTCAACAAACTTATAGTTGAACTGAACGTCTCGAAAATATGAACCCAACAACACCAAATTTGACTCAATCCGAGCCCAAATGAGTCCAAATCAAGGATCCAAAGCATATTTGGAATGTTCAAAACATAAATTGGATGATCAAACATTTTCCAAAATTTATTTGCTTATAGTCAAATTGAGCGGCTCGACGAGACGAATCCAACGAGCTAAAGATCGTTGATTTCTGATATCATTTAGCTATATTTTTATTCAAATTTATGCTATGCAATTAATACATTTCCTTTTTTTTATTAAAAATCTCAATATATATATATAAGCTTTAGCGAAAATCTTTGACTTTTATTTGAAACTTTATTTTAAAGAATCTAGGGTAAATTTTAGCTGAAATTGAAACTCACTTAAATTACCTGAAATAAAAATATTTTAAAGAATGTTGAGTAAAACTCATTTAAATATCTTTTGATCCTCTCTTGCCTCCAAATGGAGAGCCCCCCTATAATGAGTCAGCAAACAAAATTATTTTAATTTAGGCCCCCCTGAATAAAATTTGTGGCTCCGCCACTGAGTTTAGGTGCATTGGTTCGAAGTCCATACGAGATCGCGGGTCCGCGGGAGGCTCGCTGGCGCTACATGCGGAGGGCAGAGTTTGAACGCAAGCGTGGGTCCGTAGGAGGGCTCACTGGAGCTACGGTGCGAAGGGCAAAGGGTGGAGTCTGGATGCGAGCGTGGGTCACCGGGAGGGTTCGTTAGCAGTTGGTGCTAGGTGCATAGGGCAAAGGGCAGAGTCTGGGTCTAGTGCGGAGGGGGAGTCAAGACGCAGGATCGAGCACTGTGGCTTGCAGGCGAGCGCGACTCGCAAGCACGGGATCACATTGTAGAGGGCAGGGTTTGTGGTTCCTCTTGGTCATTTCAGATTGATTTTGGATTTTCGGGTCAACCCGAACCCGACCTAGTTTTATAAATGGGTCGGAAACTCGAAGCTGAACCTGACTCGTATGGAACACGGGTTGACACGAACACATAATTTTCTATGTTGGGTCTGAGTCAAGTATTGGGTAGAGTCAAGTTTTGGCACCCCTATGTGAAACTCAAAAACTTATAAAGCTCATAAACTCCTAAGTGCAATGAGTTTGGTTCGACAAGTAGAGCTTGTACATATTTTTTCTTAGTACAGTAAGGGAAACTCATAGAACACTTACGCCGGCGCATAAGTCCTTAGTGAGCTTTTTTAAGCTTGGCAGGGAAATTGACTTGTGACAATGACCATGCAAGTCTTTCTTAGCATAGTGGGCGGGCCTAAATCCCCCGTAAATAACCCAAATCTAAAGGCTACCGAATTTTTTATAAAGTATTTTTATAATGAGAGAAAGAGAGAGATGCCTCTCTCTTTAGAGACAGAAATAGTGAAAGGGGTCTTCTCTCTCTCTATTTAGAAAGAGAAAAAGAAAATGTAAGAGATTGACAGAGAGAGAATTAAAGGATTCTCTCTCTAAAGAGAGAGAAAGGGGGGAAAACTTATGAGAGGGTGAGAGGTAAAGTGCGGGGGAGAGTAGAGTTATTTGTTAGAGAGAGAATAAAAGGATTCTCTCTATTTAGAGAGAAAAGGAGGGAAAAGCTAGTCAAAGGGTGAGAGGTATAGAGAGGGGGACAGTAGAGCTATTTGGTAGAGAGAAAGATAGGGGAGAAGAGCATGAGAGGTAGGGAAAGGGCGAAGAGAGAGGGTGAGGTAGACGGTTGTGATGGTTAGGTAGATGACCGCCGGTATTAGGGTTTTGGGGTAATGAGAGGGAGATTTACAGCAAGTTGGTTACCTCGACATGTTGGGGGTTGCAAGCAAACGAGATGGGTTGAGCTATGATGGAGAGGAGAGGTTTGACCTACAATCTTCAATAAGGAGGATTGTCAGCGGCTATAACTTCGACAAGCTAGGATGTGCCAGGAGTTGAGGGAGTAGAGGATTGCCAATAAAGAACCAGTCTAAGAATGAGAGGAATGTGCACAAAATGTAGGATGTTGAGCTAGGGTTGTGAGCAGAGGATTTGCAAGTCCGAGTGCGTGCGAAACAGAGTGAGGCAGTGAGATGGTGTGATATAAAATGAGGGAGAAAAGAAAAGGGGGAAGAAACTGGACAATCAATTGAGCCTGACGGACACCTGCGGCAAAATAAAATGGAGAAAGGCATACCGCAATCTGGGATTTGCAAAATTTTGGATAGATAAGTGATTTTTTTATGAACGTTTTGATATGAGAAATATATATATATATATATATATATATATATATAGAGAGAGAGAGAGAGAGAGAGAATTAAAGTACGGGTTAACATCCTCATACAATTTCTCATTGTTTGTTCATCTTAAAATGTATTTTTTCACTCCACCGCATGTAAATTTCATATTTCGCCTTCATGTAGCACCCGGGCAATATGGGTATCATTTCCAAATAATTTCGACATTCGAAACTTATTGGTGCAATATGTTTCCCCAACAAGTAACATTTAGATGGTTTTTGCGCGTCATCGTGTTCGTAGTCCAACCTTCCATTATATTTAATCGAAGTGCGTGCAATAGTTGCTTCGATATTTTTGGTGCTGCAGACGGGTTGGCACAATCAATCTCACCAGCGGGTGATGTTTGAGTAGTCTTGATTGCGGTTGAGGAATTTCGAACTTGCTGCAAGCAATAATGCCACATCAGTCGATCATTGTTCTTGTTACGCTTGCTTGAATCAATTGCAAAGCACACGCGGAGGTCAACAGCACTGATGGACAGTGGATCAGTTACAAATAATTTGTAGAAGATCAATCAAAGACTATAAGTCTTGAATCCAAGTAAATATGGAAAGTTCCCAAAACTACAAAATCCATCAATGATTATGCAACAACCTACACATTTGCAACAATAATCCAAAATAATCAGGCAACCTAAAGAACAATGTCATTCAAGTGAGAAAAAATACAAAAACAATTATAATTTCAGGAAATAAAAGTTGCACACCCTTGAAGGGCCCTGTCAACTAGATTGAAACATATCCAAGGCTTGAAAGCATTCCATGCTTCTATGAATAGTACAACTTTATGATGACAAATGGGGAAACATGAAAACAAAAAACAAAAAACAAAATAACTAATAAAACTACTGAGGCAAATTTTTTACTGAACTTACTAAAAGCATTAATCTACTCCTCCGCAGAGTAAAAGTGCAGTTTGACAATAGGCCCATTGTACCATCAACAAGTGCTTTCCTAACCTTCTCAGCAGGGTGAACACAAAGCTAACAGAATGAAAAGAGATTGTGAAAGCAAAAATTTCAGGAACATGAACTCGGAAGTTACATACATTTATTATTCTTATGTCTATATCATAGAATAAATCACAGGAAGCTGAAAGAACATACATGCGGAAAGGTGGCAGACAATAACTTATCAACATGAGTAGAAGTTTGATCTACCCAATCCTTTGTCCGTTGCACATACAATGACCTTGCTCCAGAAAAAGTATCAGGAATTTTCACCTTACTCTCATCTTTTTTTGGAGTCTGTATTGATTGACTCATGGAATTTTCAGATTGATAATGAAGATTGGCAGGCAATTGACGGATCGCATCTAGGACTGTTTGGGTTGATTCATTCTTGTTCTGATAACTGCATGTAATCTCGCTGGCGGACATCTGCAATCCACTAAGATTTACATCATCCCTTAAAACTACTATCAAGAACTCAGATAACCCAAGAATTGCATGTTCAATGCTCCCAGCATTTCCTGCAGCTCCACTTATCATATTCTTCGTCACAAGCAAAGATTTTGTGAAGCGACTAACCATACCCGGAAGAAAAAAACCAAGTGCATCAGCAGTTCCAACCTTCAAAATAGATAATGCAATTTTAATTAACCATAAAATCTAGAATATCATGTGGAAAAACATATAACACATTCCTCGGAGATCAACAATATTTACACCAAGTTAGCAGTGCACATAACATGAAACACATTTTACATGCCAATAATTCAGAAGAATATTTCTAATTATGCCAGCTTTTAGGTACATGGTCTTTTTTCTTCATGCACAATACTCTTTAAAATATTCCAAAGTAAAAGAAATCACAACACGTCCCAAAAACCGAAAAAAAATGTAGTTATCAGAAAGATAATATTTCATGACACAAGTAAAATCTTTAGTTCAGATTTCATCAATTTAATCAAAGACGTCGCATGATATAAGCATATTAGCACTTAAGCTTTAGGTATTAAAGATCTTAAGGAATGGTAAACCAAGAATTTATGGAGCATCGTCCAGTTTCTCGCAGGATAAAACAGGACCAATCAATTTTGTGTGATGAAAAACAATTCAGGCGCTCTTCTAGCTTTTCCTTGATGAAGTGTTCGTCATTCTTAATATGCTTAGATTGATCATGTTGAATTGGAATAAATCCATATTTATTATTGATTTGTTGCCACAATCACCTTCATAGGACTTTCTTGCTTGATTCTTAGCTCATTTAGGATGATTTTTAGATATAATAATTCACAAACTCCTTAGGATAGCCTTGAATTTTAATTCAGCATTGAACTTGGCCACTACAGTCCACTTTTTGCTCCTTTATGTCATGAAACTTCTATTAAGAAGTGTGCAATATACTAATATTTTTCTTCCATCCATTAATGAACTTGCCTAAGTTGCATTTTTGTAGGTTTCTAAGGTGAGTTCATTCTTTATTTTGAATAAAACTCCTTTACCTGGTGAGTGTAGTAAGCAATAGGAAGTTTGTAGATGCAGCCCTCTTAGATCAGACATAAATTGAATGATCATGCCAATTGAATCTGGATATTGGTCATGTGTGAGCAAAACATATGAGTCCCCTTATCAATCTTTGATGCATCTTCCTATAAATGGTTAATTCTTCTTTTGCTTACCCTAGTTTTTTTATTTGGCTCGGCTAGAGTAAAAACAAGTGTCATCCTAGTTTTATGGTTTCCTTCAAGAGGTATGTAACATGCCTTTTCTAGAATATTAAAATCATTTGCCTGGAGAATATGACTTTAACTCCAAGAAAATGCTTCAATTTTTCAAGTTCTCATATCTCAAATTCCTTTATCAAGTATTCTCCTATTTTATTTTTCTTCCTCGTCATTTATAATGACTAATATCAGCAACATGCACCAGGCGTGTTTCAATTCCCTCTTTGATTGAATGCTTGATGAAGAAGATGTAGTGATGAGGACATCAGAGATCAGCGGCTACGATCTGGAGTTTTTTTTTTTTATGTACTAGTTTACTTTATATTTATGTTTTTCCCATTTTATCCATAGGGATGGGGTGGTCATGTGGTGTTGTAGCCTGAAGGGCATTTTAGTCATTGTTTCTTTTCTTTTTATGAGGCCTATTTATAGGCTAGTTCTCTTGTATTTTGGGTTAATGATGATGATGAATAAAATTTCTGCGTTTTACTCTTGTGAGAGTTTGAGGGTTCTTGGAGAGAACTTGGAGAAAGTCCCTTGATGAAGGGCAACAGATCACACACCAATCTTGGAAGAGTCCGGGTTCGTGATTTTTTATCTTTTCTTCCCTATCCTTTTTTTTTTCTTCTCTCTTTTCCCCCTCTCTCCCTCGCCGTCGGCCTAGGTTTACCTCCACCCCATAGCCGCCGGCCATCCCAAGCTCCCAACCCCTTAAAGGCGTCGGCCACTCATACATCACCTTCCCTTTTCCAACTCCACACCACCAAGGCATCTCCCTCCCAATCCTTGCCGCCGGCCAAGCCCATCGCTAACCATTTCTTTCCTTTCCCTAACCTGCCGGCCATCACCACAGCCCCAAGCCGTCGGCCTTCCCAAATCCTTCCCACCCCGGACTCCCCTAAGTCCCCTCACCACCGGCCTCCCCTAGCTTCCACTAGCTCCCAACCCCTTAATTACTTTCCTAATTTATCTCAACATTAATTTGAAAAGTTACATCATACAACAACAACATCAAGCCTTTATCCCACTACATGGGGTCGGCTACATGAATCATTTTTCTCCATTGTGTCCTATTAAAAGTCAAATTCTCGTTTAAATCTAAATATCTAATAAAGAAAGGTCATTCATAATATTTTCTAACCAAGTCTTTTTAGGTCTACCCCTACCTTTCTTAACATAAGTCAAATCTAATACCTCTACTCTCCTAACCGGGTCATCGCAAGGCCGCCGTTTTATGTGACCAAACCATCTAAGGCGACTTTCTCTAATCTTATCTTCTACTGGAGCTACTCCAACCATCTAAGGCGACTTTCTCTAATCATTTTTCTCCATTGTGTCCTATTAAGTATTTTTTGATCTTCATCTTTAATACACTTCACTTGAACTAAATCCTTACTACTCATATCTCTTTGTTTGGCTAACTTATACATATATCTTTCTCCCTCTTTAGTATCTAATCTATTATATAAATCACTAAAAGCTAATGCCTTTGCATCGCATATTGCTTTCTTAGCATCCTTACGAGCCACTTTATATATTTCTCAATTTTCATAATTTTTAAAATTAAACCAATATTTATAACAAAGCTTTTTATTTTTAATTTTTTCTTGCACATTAGGATTCCACCACCAACTATTTTTACTATTAGGAGCTTTTCCCTTTGATACTCCAATGACATCTTTTGCAATATTCTCAATATCACTAGCCACTTTTTCCCACATAATATTAGCATCCTCATGCACAGACAAAATCTTAAGATCTAAAATCTTATTTCCAAAAATATTTTTGTTAATATTCTTTAAATGCCCCCATTTAATCCTAGAAAATTGTTTTACTTTATTTTTTATGAAAAGTTACATCATGGGAATACAAATTAATATTTGAATTTTAAAGCTTTCCCTATTAATAAACTCAAATTAGGAAACCTACCAATTCTAATAAATCTGAATTCAATCTTAGATTTAATGATAATCACTAATTAAATTCCCCCGGGCCCACACACATTGAACCTAGAGCCTATTAAACCCATCCTTATATGGTTGGCCCCTCTCTATCCCCTTTCTCTCTCCACTTTGCCACCTAGCCCTAATTAAACTCATCTTACTTCCCCTTGGCTGCCGCCCCTCCTTCCCCTCCCCTATCTATTTAACTTCCTTCCTTAAACCCTCAAATCAAGCCCTCACTAATCTCTCTTAAACCTGGCCGTCTCCATTGAAGTCCACAATAACGTTTCCCACTGATTTTCAGAACAACCTGCTAGCTGTCCATGCATTCCAGCAGGAGCATCCTGCTGTCCAGAATTTCTGGAGAGTCTAAACTGCTACCAAGGCTCTCATAGCAGCTGTCCAGAAGAATTTAAGAGCAGAAACAGCAGTTTTGTTGCCCCAAAGTCCTCCAGCTGCTGCCCCAATTCGCCGAACAGGATCCAGGTTGCTGTCCAGAGGAAATTCAGCCAAAGGAGGCGACTATCCTGACCGGAAAGATCTTCTAGTTGCTGCCACAAGGCCCCCAAACCCAGGATTCGGTGAACTCTTTCCCTCACTCTTTTATTTTCTTAGTTACTTTCAATTGTGGAATTAATTGATTCACTGAGATCGTGCTAGTCCTCCGCTAAAGCCTTGTGAGAGATCATTCATAGTATTAATCTCATTGTTAGTTTAGGGATTTCTTGTTGAAACTTTCCATGTATGCAATGTTATATTAATTGATTGTTTTACGGTCTTAACTACTATACATGTGATTTAGCCTAAGCTTATTTCACCGCTCTTTGTGTTTTATGTTGTCGTTCGAAATCACTATAAAGATATAATTATTGCGCTCTAAATATTAAGCGAGCAAATTCATTAATCTTGCATGTACGTTTCACATCATGTAGTCTCCTTAAATTTGCTTGTACCCAATTCCCTTCAAAGACCATATAGGGCCTTCTTTAGTATGCACACCGTATTAGTAGCTCGCTTTTTCTCAAATCTTGGAAAAATACCCAAATAAATTTCTTCTTCTAAATTCTCATACAAAAAAGCATTCTTCACATCATATTGTTGAAGATGTCAATTATGCTATCAATGATATAAGAATTCTTATTCTGCTCACCTTCGCCACAAAGGGAAATATCTTCTAACAATCAATATCATGTATCTATGTTTAACTTTTAGCAGCCAGTCATTCTTTATCAGCTTTGTATCTCAAAGTGAACACCCATCTGAATTTTCCTTTAGGTTTATTTACAGACTCTAACATATAACATATTAGTTTTTTCAATGCATTCATTTCATCTTTCATAGCATTTTTCCATTTATGTGTAGATAATGCCGTAGATAAAGTATTTGCAGCATATGAACTGTTTGGATTCCCATTAAAATTTCTATGGAGTTGAGAAAGTTGTTTATCAGACATATTTGAACAATGGATGTAAAATACTTTGTGCAATTTTTGCTACTTTTCATAAATATGCACAGCCTTTAAGTCAAGGTGTGAATATGAATTCAAGAGTAGATTTCGCTTCAAGAAGTTCGGCATAGGGATATATTTTTAGAGGTTTTTAGACTATCTATTACTAATGCTCAAAGTTAATTTAAGAGACAAAACTTGAACATATTTAGTGAAGTTTAGTACTCATGTAGTCAAAAGTGTCATCAAGCTTTTTTCGGGGTTTCACATGCTTATGTTCCCCTTAGCTCCAAAGTTTTCTCATATAAAAGATCATTTTATTAAAGAAAATTATAAAGAAGTCTAGGACATCTTCATGCTCTCAGCTTTTTAGAACATTTGAAATGAAAATAATAATGGATGTTTTTTGAATGACATAAGGACCAAAATAATCCCTTGTGTTTTTACGAAGGATCAAATGGTCCGCAAATATTTAAATGTCTCATTTTAGTTCCTTGACTTTTTAAATAGGGA